GGAGAGCTTATAACAATCGTTTGCCAACAAATGAGTGGAGAAGCACTTGGGCACATACTTCACCCCTTTGTGGCTATTGTCAAGACAAAACGGAGGACATATTACATATCTTACGGGATTATCATTTTGCTCGAAATATGTGGATGGAGAAAATTAAATGAAGGTATGTACAATCCTTTTTCTCCCTCCCTTTGAAGGACTGGATTGCTGCTGATCTCAAAAATTAAAATGGGACATTCCCACATTCAGAGTTGGAATATTTTTTGGGGAGTAGCTGTATGAAAATTATGGAGTTGGAGGAATAATGTGGCTTTTGATACGAACTTTATGAAACCACTTAATCCTACTGCTTATTTGAGGACATGTAAACTTTATGGCATGAACACTATTTGTGGCGAGGCGAATCTGATTGGTGATCATGATGCTGGAACTTCCTATTCCTGGCCTCCACCTCCTCTCAATTGGATTAAATTAAATGTGGATGGTGCTGTGGCTTTGAACTCCTCTAAAGCTGGTTGTGGAGGCTTACTTCGGGACTTTAAGGGCTATTGGATTGTTGGATTTACCCAAGAACTAGGAATCTGCAGTGCACAAGAGGCGGAAGAATGGGCCATTTATAGGGGGTTAAAACTAGCCTGGGACTTTGGATTCAGGAATATCATCCTGGAATCAGATGTCAAAATTCTGGTACAACAGCTCCATACTCACCATTCAAGTACCAATTCCAGTCTTCTTTTTATTCAGATTCAAAAGATGCTGCAGTTTGATTGGACTGTCAAGGTGGACTATATCTCAAGGAGAAGTAACAAGGTTGCTGATGGTTTGGCTAAAATGGGAATTTCCCAATCTCAGTTTTTTGATGCTTGCCCGACTAGTTTAAGGGCTCTCATGCAGGAAGATTGTATGGGATATGATCCCAATATTGTCTAGTTTTACTTTGGCTTTAGCCTCTTTTGTAGCCCCAAAAAAAAAACAATCAATAACAAAAAACTAATAACGGAAAAACATAAAATACATGTGCAACAACACATCCTGCAACACCAACCTCATCTTAAGCAAGCTTACATTAGGCATGCAGGGGTGAGGAAATGTTGTAATCCTTGCTCTGAACGAATAAACCGAAAAGTAGCTCCTCAAGAAAAGCTCCAGTGGGAGTTCAACCAAACATGAGATAGAAACATGGACAAAAAATGCAGCAACTAAAGCTTCTAAAAATTGCACCTTGATGAAGTAACTCAAGACGAAGGAATTCATAGAGACACGAACTTAAAAGAAGATGTAGCATAAAGCCCCAATGCACAAACAAACACCAAGTAACCACCGATACTATCTAGCCATGTATGAATGCACCAAGAGGATGAAGACCATCATGAGCATCTAAATCAAGTTATGAGAAGCAGAGCTCCAATCGTCAAACCATGCCATTTTAAGCCAAAGCCCTACGGACACTTTTGTCCCTGATGATATTAAAAAAAGGATCTGAAAACACCAATAATAAAACAGAACCATAGCAACAATCACCATCAGCTCGAATGAGAATTTTAAAAGCCCGTTAATTTGTCCACAGACAGAGAGAGTAATTACATGCAGGCCTAATAAGGAGCCCAGCATCTCTGCGACAACAATATCTAGAATTTGCAGAAATTATTTAGGCCGTGCAAGGCCCAATAACTAGAGAACAAAATATTCGACCAGACGGCAACCTTGCACAGTAATTATGTTGAGATAAACTCCCTTATATATTTACTTTGTATACTCTAAAATTACTTCTAAAATTTAAGTTTGCTTTCCATCCAAACACTCAATTGCCCCAGCTGCCCACATTGCCGGCAAATTTGTGTGGCTTGCTCAACTTTGACGTGCAGACCTTTTCCCTGGACGTGTGAGAAGCATTAAAATCTAAATAACAACCAAACAAGGTTCTCAGTTCCCTCGCAACTAACTTTGTATAATAATCTAGAGGGAGTCCCGTGACCTGAATCCATACTTACCTCATTTACAATTAAATATGCAATTTTTTATTGGGTCTTTATAATTTTCACAATTATAGGTATTTTGATAGAATTTTCCCTTACAATGTGTTAATTTATATATATCTATATATATTTATATTTATATAAGACATTAGTAGCTGATGGCATCACTCTTAGTATGCATCTGGATTAATTTTGTTACATGAATTTAAATAAAATAAAAATGAACTAACTTACAGATTATATAGAGATTCATTGATAAGGATATAAGTATAATAATTTTTTATGTTGATAATAAAGAAACTTTATTTTAAAAAGCCCTTTTTTTTTTGTTTTGTATTTGATCAATAGATTATGATTATAAATCAGATAAAATTATAGAGATTGATGAATTAATTTTTCTCCATTATTTATGGGCTCTGATCAGTGTGCTTGTAATTGGTTGAATGCCATTTACACACACACACACACGTATACATATCTTATGATTTTTTACCCATTTTATTTATTAGGTTAAATACAATGTTTTTTTTAATTATTTCAATGCTTTTATGTACATTTCACATTAATTGAGGGGCTGTAATGAAAGTCATCCCTTTAGAGAAATTATAAATGATATTAGATTGCTTTTACACATGGATTGGCAAATCAAGTTGTACCACATCAGTAAATATGATCTTACCTTCGCTGATAGGCTAGCCAAGTTATCACAAGAAAGTTAGTGTCTCTTTGCTTAACCACCACCTCTTAATGAGGAGGTGGAACTTGATGAAGGAAAGTAATCAAATCTTGTTGTATTTGGTCTGTTTAGTTTTGTTATACAGATTTTTTTTTTGTTAAAAAAATATGTAAATTTCAATAATTCAATTAGGAATTTCTAATTAATACTTCCAAGAAAAATAGTTCATTTTAGCGGCGGTACCGTGGTTGTTTTATTCCAAAATAAAGAAGGTAAAATTTTACTATATTTGATCCTTAATATAAGAGTTAGTTGACTAATTTGAATGGATTAAAAAAATTAGTTGAGTTAGTTATTTATAATAAATATGTGTTGTCTTAAAATACTCTTGCTAGTTATATTTATTTATTAACTAAAATTACCATGCGATAAAACTCTTAACACGTGTAACTACTATAAGGACTATCTTGAAAAAAGTTGATAAATATGAGATAAAGTGAATCGTGAAATCTTATATTTAAGACAAAATTGTATGCCAGCTAACTCTTATATTAAATATGGGAGGTAGCCCAAGTCAGGGCTTTCTTTTTCTTTTACATACGTTGCCAGAAGTCTCTAAACGCGCACCCAAACAAATAGAATGACTGATGAAGAGGACGAATTTATATGCATATATATATATATATAAATATCCAATAAAACTAACTACACCAAAACCAGTAATTGAATCAATGATTGCAAATCATAGTTAATTATGTTTAGAATAATAGATGTAATGTTAGATTGTTTGTTTTTCGATATAATACTAAATGAAAAAAAAATCAATTTCTTAACATAATTTTACTGCAGACCTGGAGTTACACATTTTGGTGTTAGAATCAATTTGTGGTGATGACAAACATTGGGTAGCAAGTTGGTATTGCTACTTTACTGTTAACTAATAGTTAGTTAAGCATACTTATAAGGGATTTAGCTTCATTGATCGGCTTTTATGACTTCAATCCCTATTATTTTTCGAACCTTGATGCCCAATTGTTTTGCTGCCATTAAACTGATTTCAACTCTATTAGTTGACTTTGTTTATATCACTCTCATTCTAAATATAAATCACTTATATAGAAAAGTTTCGGTGCCAAATATAAGTCATTTATAGTAGATTTAATGCTTGTTTTTCAATTTTATCCTTATTTAATTCTCATTAGAAAAACAAAAAAAAAATGAAGAGATCAGATACGAGAATGATTTGTAAATGTATGAAGAAAGAGAAAAATTTAATAACAGTAAAATTGAAAAAAATTTGTCAACTTAATACATTTATTGATATACTAAAATATGTTATTAGTGACTTATATAAAGAACTAAAATGACATTAATTGTTGTTCATAATCGTTAATTGGGTTTATTAATTTGTGTGGTTGCGCTTTTTCTATGGTATAAAGTAGTCCATGCTTTTACACTGGCCTAAAACAAAGAGTCCATACTTTTGGATAGAGTCGATTCTTGCAAATGGTAGCATTCTTTAGAAATAAAGTGAACAAATTTTGGAAGAAGCAACACAATTTTCAGCAGCTCCACAAAATTTGGAAAGTCTACTGTACCCTAAGAACCAAAGTAAAATTGAATTTTGCGGGTAAAAACACATTATTGCCCTCGAGTTATAAACGACTTTGTTTCTTTTATGAATCACCATATCTTGTAAATTCCTATATATATTCAACTTGTGAATCCTAACTTCCTGACCTATTGTGCATGCTAACTCCACCTGTAAATGGCTCTAATCTAGTTGTAAACAGCCATATTTCTATTATGAATCACCTTATTTTGGTTGTACATTCCCGTATTTCACTTGTAAATCCTAACTACCTAACTTATGAATGTTAGCTCTACTTATAAATGACCTTAGCTTACTTCAATTGTAAACAGCATTATTACTCTTACGAAGGGTCTTATATTAATTGTAAATTCTCATATTTCACTTGTAAATTCTAACTCTCTGACTTTGAAGTTATAACATTTTAATATACATAGAATATTTAGGAAGAATTAAATAGTGGAACAAAATCAATTTAAACTCACTTCTCCATGTTTTAAAATCAAAATTAAAATCTCTATCCCCTTTTTTTTTCTTGATATAATACAATCAAATGTGCTGGGGAAAAAATTAAACGCACACACAAATATGTTAACACCGAACTCGAATCCAGAATCTTATCTAAACATGGTGGGTAGCGTTGTCGCCAGGGCAACTAGCCATTAACATATTTCTCTCCTTTCACTTGTTTAGAATCAAATATATCATGAAAATTAATAAAAATTAAACATTGGAATCGATCATATAACCTAAAATCTCAAGACATGGGGCATCCGGAGGCTCTCACACCTCGTGCGGTAGGGCACTTGGCGAAGTAACAATGGTCATTAGCTTCAAGTCCTACCCAACTGGGTCCCACGATATCATAAGTTTGAAGAGTGAAAAACATAAGAACAGCACAAAAAACAACCCCAGCATCAAGTGCAGCTGAAAGAACACAGGTATGTTTGGCCCACCAAGCCTTGTACCTTTTATAAACATAGAAGTTGAAGAAAAGTCCAACGATTCCCCACATGATAAAGTTGACAGATCTTGCGGGAAGTAAATTCCCAGGTCCTTTGAAGATGATAGGCATTTTTATGAGTGAAATCCATTTCTGGTTTGGGAATTTGCGTGAGAGAAGCCAAACTGGGACTGGGGCTAGCAAACCAATGAGGAAGAACCAGTTCATGCGTGAGTAAATACATTCTTTTGCGAACATATTCTTTGGGCCAATCACTCCCCAGATAATTGATGCATTGTAGAACACGTACCTGAATAGAGAAACAGTCACAAGATTTGTAGGCCACCACATGTAAGGGGAGTCAACAAGAAGTTTTCTAAACACTCCAGCCCATCCATATCCAATCATCTGTTCAAAGTTAATCACAAATTCAATAATGTTAACAAGCTTTTAAAGAGTTATTACTAATTTATGCCATACCTGAGTTGTTATTACAAGCAAATAAGCTGCCAAAGGATGGATGCTCCTCCGATAGAAAACCTTACCAGTGTTAATTAAGTTCATGGCATAAACCCCGGTAGAACCAGACGTTGCGAAGACGGTGATAAGCACGTGTTCTTTCAGAGCAGAAGGCCCTCGATTCAACGAAAACGACCACCTCGTAAGTGGAAACCTAATTTCTTTGGTCGGAAGTATTGCGGCCATGAGTTTCCCAAGTGGTAGGCTTGCAATCTGAGCCGACACAGAGGAAATCGAGAGCTGGTTTGTCCTGTAACTGAAGAACTGGTTCACGAAGGAAAGGATGATACAGGACCCTAAATCTAGGACCCATGTTCGGAACGTCAACGCCGGTTCGCTTGGATCGTCGGAGATCGGAACTGTCAGCCTCACTTGTTCGATCGGACTATCGTCGTTGACCTCTTCGGCATCATCATCTTCATCAACCACAAGAAATAAAACGACAGGTTCAGTAATTTTAACCTACGTCATAGGCATTTGTAATAATTAATAAGTTATTTTAACATAGGATTATACGAATAAATATTGAGTTGTCGGGCATCAAATTTTAGATGAACGTACGTTCCACTGATGAGCCTTCCATCATTGGAGGCAGCTTCAACTTTGAGTTCTGTCTCTCTTAATTTTGTGGGAAAGAAATATGGATGAAGTAATTTAGTTTATTAATTACAAGAGAGAAAAATGGGGGTATCTCTTTTATTTCCCTTTTAGTCTTAGATTGTTTATTAATTAAATTATTCTTATTAATTTCAAACCCACCCATTGCGTTTTGCTAATGGCCTCGTGTAACCTTTCAAGATTATTAAGTGACTCCTCTGGCCAGTTTGGTCTCTTTAATTATCTCTAATATTATTTTTAAAAAGTAAATGTATATTCTTGTGACTTGTAAAAGTTACAGTAGTTTAATCAATCAGTAAGAGTGTGATCATAATTCATAATGACGCGGGTTTAAACAGCACTACAAGTGTGAAAATCTCATTAGTTAATAAGTTGTAAGCACCTTTTGTGGCAAGGCCTATTCTAATAATTCTGATAAACGAGCTGGTTCAACTAAGCTTGTCTATAACATCTTATAAACAGCTTTTTAATCCTGATTTATAAAATAAAAAATAAGTATAAAAGAAGAGTTTTATTTCAATTTATATAAAACATGGTTATAAACACTTAAATAAGTAGATCCAAACAAGTAAATACACACATACTTGGGGTATGCTGAAGAATCATGCAATAAAAGATTACATAAAGTATGAAGAATGATTATTTTTTTTAAAAAAAATATAGGCTTGAAATTAGAGCTCGATGTGACTAGGTTTGCGTGCATATTTTTTCCCATTAATTTATGTTGCTTGTGCATTTAGTTAAAGAAGTGTCATATCCCAAATCCAAGGAAGTTTGTATACGTGAGGTACATGGTTGAGCCAGGAGGGCTGGAACTTATAAAATATCTGGGTTGAGAATTGTTTTTGAAAAAAAATAGTAATTTTTAACTTGGCCTCTTGGCTGGACTGAGTGATAAGAGCTGGACTCAAAACCCCGTAATTAAGGTCTTGAATTCAAATCATAAAATTTAAAGGGGGAAAACATATCGAGAAAGCTTGCCTCCTAGTGAGACCCAACCTAGCTCTCAGATTAGTTGGTGAGAATAAATATTAAATAGTATGTCGGGAGAGAGAAAATAAAAATAACTTCATTTGCTGAATATTTTTGCTGCGTTAACACTTTTTTAACAATGTCATTATTAGTTGTTTTTTGTGATAGTTTTGATGCATATATGGGTACTTTGTTCAATTGAAATGCATTCCCCCCCCCTTTTTTTCTTTCTTGTTATGAGGATGAGAAGCAAAAACACAAGCTAAAGTTCTCCTTAGCCCCTCCCTTCACTCTCACTTTTCTATTGCTTCATGTATGTATTCAGATAACATGAAATCTAGCAAGCTCTTCATTTGTAATATAGGTTCATACTTATTTCTTCATAGATTCTTATTAATTAATTGCTTTATAGCTTGGGAAAATAACAAATAAAAATCCCTGAATTACTAAAATTACAAGGAAGTCACCTGAATAAGCCAAATTGCCAAGAAGGATCCAGTCTCAAATTGTTATTATGAAATCAGGCTAAAAAGACAGAAATGCCGTTATTCTCTTTCTTCCATCACCCCATCTCTTTCTCTTTTCTTCTTCTCTTTCTCTCCATTTCGTCCTTCTCTCCCTCTTCATCTCCCTCCCTCTCTTCTTCCTTCTATTCCTCTCGCTCTCAAAAACATTCATCTCTCGCCTATGCATTTATTAATATGATTAAGGTTGTAGCCATTCCCACCAATATTTATTATAAAAAAGATGATGACCCATCATTAATGCTAGTTGATGACTTTCGACTTTCATTTCCAAATATGTTTTTGATATAGTGTTGTTTGATTGTCGAGAATACTGTCTTCTTTTTGTTTACTTGTATTTGGGAATTGATAATCTCCTCATTTGATTCAGAATTGCTGGTTGCTGTCAAAACACCTCTGGTTTTTTGTTATTTGACTTACTATTATTGTAATTTTACTTAGTAGTATTGTAACTACAGATTGGTTAGTTTGGTTACAACAACATGGCATGACAATCCAAAAATGTTGGTATTTTGTTTATGGACAGAGTAATGTTAACATTTAGTATTTATAGTTGTAAATGATATCAATGTAGATCCAGTTAATGTTCTGAAATTCATGACAAACCTCCTCACAAACTTATAATTTCACTTACCATAGTTGTTATTTGGATTTCCACTCTTGTCAATTGATTTTCATAACTTGTCATTTGCCTTACCCAACTTGTCATGAATTACATATTAGAACTTGTTATCTACTAAAGAAATCTGAAAATTCTGTCATTTGAAAAGAGAAAATTAAATTTTTATGAATTGCTTATCAGAAGTTGTCATTTACCTTACTAAACTTGTTATTCATCTTACTCAACTTGTTATTCACCAAGGATGTTTAGTAAGGTATATGACAACTTTTGATAAGCAACTCATAGACAATTTGCACAATTTCTTAATGAATGACAAGTTTAGTAAGGCGAATGACAACTTATAATAAGCATTTCATACGAATTTAATTTTCTCTTTTCAAATGACAATTTCTAGATTTATTTAGCAGATGAAAAGTTCTGATAAGCAATTTATGATAAGTTTAGTTAGGCAAATGACAATTTTAGTAAGGCAAATGACAACTTCTGATAAGCATTTCATACAAATTTAATTTTCTTTGTTCGAATGATAGAATTTTCATATTTCTTTAGTAGATGGCAAGTTCAGTAAGGCAAATGATAGAATTTTTGTGTTTCTGTCGATGCATTTCTGTTACCACATTTCTAATTAAGCGGACAACATTAAATAGCTCTACATTGTTACAATATAGAGCTGATTAACAAAAAAACGTTAATATTCCTTTGCACAATATAAAAAGACCATAATTATCAAATTGTCATGTGTTTCTATCACTGCATTGTTGTCATAATAGTTAAAAGTCTGCATTAACAACACTAGCAAGCGAAATTACAACAATGGTGATCGTTACATTCCCTCCAATATATGTAACTTCCCTTTCATCACTTGCTTCAGAATGTCCACCAACATGGACGTAACGTAACAAATTCTATGTTTCTGTTACTACACTTCTATCATCTTTAAGATGATTGTTTTTTACTTTAGAAAATCACAACTTAAGTATAATATATGACAAGTTAAGTATATCAAATTATAACTTTGTTTATTTTCATATTTCTTTGGCGAATGACAAGTTGAGTAAGACGAATGACAACTTCTGATAAGCAATTCATAAAAATTTAATTTTCTCTTTTCAAATTATAGAATTTTTAGATTTTTTTAACAGATGACAAGTTCTGATATGTAATTCATGACAAGTTGGGTAAGGCAAATGACAGGTTATGAAAATCAATTGACAAGAGTGGAAAGCCAAATAACAACTACGGTAAGTGAAATTATAAGTATGTGAGGAGATTTGTCATAAATTTTAGAACATTAAATGGATTTACATTAATATCATTTACAACTATAAATACTAAATGTTAACATTGCTCTGTCCATAAACAAGATACCAACATTTTCAAATTGTCATGCCATATTGCTATAACCAAACTAACCAATCTATAGTTACAACACAGCTAAGTAAAATTATAACAATAGTAAGTCAAATAACAAAAAACCAGAGGTGTTTTGATAGCAACCAGCAATTCTGAATCAAATGAGGAGATTATCGATTCCCAAATACAAGTAAACAAAAAGAAGACAGTATTCTCGACAATCAAACAACACTATATCAAAAACATATTTGAAAATGAAAGTCAAAAGTCATGAACTAGCATTAATGATGGGTCATCATCTTTTTTGTAATAAATATTGGTGGGAATGGCTACAACCTTAATCATATTAATAAATGCATAGGCGAGAGATGAATGTTTTTGAGAGCGAGAGGAATAGAAGGAAGAAGAGAGGGAGGGAGATGAAGAGGAGAGAAGGACGAAGACAGAGAGAAAGAGAAGAAGGAAAGAAAGAGAGGGTGATGGAAGAAAGAGAATAAGGGCATTTCTGTCTTTTTAGCCTGATTTCATAATAACAATTTGAGACCGGGTCCTTCTTGACAATTTGGCTTATTCAGGTGACCTCCTCGTAATTTTGATAATTCAGGGATCTTTATTTATCATTTTCCCTTATAGCTTCTTTATGAGAGAGAGAGAGATATATATATATATATATATATTTATGTACCTTCCATATACATGTATCTTTTTTAATTAGCTAGAAATATGGGTTAGGCTAAATATGCTAACCATCCAAAAAGTGATGGCTTTTCCTACTTATATATTTAAAGACAAGCTAGAATATCCCGCAGCACCTAACTGGTCATAAAACCATACTAGCCCACTTAACTCTTATTTTATAGGATTACGGTGCGTCTAATATCTTAAAATATTTTCTCATGTGTATCCAGTGTCATAAAATTATTTATGATACAGTTTCACCCCTCAAGTATTTAAAAAGGTGCAATCCCATCCAAATTGTTAATGGGAGAAACACCCGTTAGTTTTTTAGTTGCAGGTGGCCATTTTCAAATTTTGAAGGATGACTTTTCTTGGCAATTGCTCACTCCTCCTCCTCCCTTTTCGTCTCTTGGTCTCCCTCGACAGCCCTCCCCCCCCCCCCCCCCAAAAAAAAAACCAACAAGACCCTCTCTCTCTCAGTTATTAATAAATGCTTTAAAGTGTGTGTATATACATATGGGCAAATTTCGCAGGAGAATCGATTATTCCAGTGTGTTTCAAGATTCACCCATTATGCCCCTGCATGAAGTTTATTATAACCAATTCATACCCAAAAAGAAACCAATCCATATCTAAGCATCTTGCTCTATCGGTGCAGGATTTCTCTCTTCATCACTGTCCTCTTTGTTGTCGCCCGCGGTCGTCCAAATCTGCATAATATTCGTCATAAGCTGAGATTAAATTAGTAGAGAGTGATATTACTGAATGTTGCAGGCCTCAGCAAGCACAATTGAGCAGAAGTTGAGCGCCTAAATT